CTTTTGGTATGTTAAGATAGAAGCAAGGGGAGGAAGGGGGAACTGAGGAATGTCTTTTCTTTAACCTTTTATTCCCCGGCAGAAGCAAAGCAGGTATACAGAAGCAAAAAAGAGCTGTTAGTTTTTTTAGAGTCTATAGGAGTAGCTGAAGTATAATTTTTAACATGAGTCTGTCTGGCCTAGGGTCCGGGCCGAGATCCTTACACTCATGCATTGCTGGTAGATGTCTTGGAAAGCAGGCATTATCTAATAAGGTTCAAAATGTATATTCCCTGTGACCCAGTAATTACACTCTCAGAAATATACTGCCGAGAAGCACCTATATATTTTTGTTTTGGGTCCAGATTTCTTGACTATTTGCTTTGAAGTATTCTTAAACTATAAATTTTTAAGTTTATGCAATGTTCTGTACATTTGTTATATTTCCCATTAAACAATAGCTTAACCTTAAAGCCACTCTGTGACATCATCATATACCCATCACATTGGAAAAATTTAGAAAGTGTGACGACAGTACTGATACTGGCAAAGACACGGAGCATCATGAGAGCTCTCGCTGCCAGTGAGGTGTTAAGCTGAAATAAGCACGTTGGAAGACTGCTCAACATTCTCTTATAAAGTGAATGCCTATAAGAAGTGGAAAATGAGAATATGGTTCAGGGACACAGGAGGAAAACAGGGAAATGATACAAGAAAGAGAGCTCACCAGGTTTGATGAGGAGTGAGACCCTTGAACTGAGGAGCATTGATTAGCTTTCCTCTGAACCTGGAGGGAAAAACTAAGCAAGTAAACAGAAAGAAGAGGTAGGTGCCACATTGAAGAACATGTTCAGGATGGGTAACCACCCTGACAGCCCCCCACCAGCATGGCCTCTAGTATCAGGACCTGCATTTTCAAGATGAGACTGCAGATAGGAGTTCCCACAGTGACTCATACATAGCTTAACAGAATTTTCTCCGTGGTAGACCCCTTTTCATTCTTTTTAGCTTAGTCACTGGGAGACTCACTTCTCTCCCCATTTCCTGTACTCTGAAGAGGTTTGATTATGTGGGGAAGTCACATTACCTTCCCTTAGAAGTGAACTTGATGCATAAATATTGTGATAGGTCAGATAGCTGACTTGCCCTGGCTGGCCACCGTTTTCTGTGCTGCATGGCAGAGCCCTGGAGAGGTCTCTAAGCTGGCTGACTCTTGCACTGGTTTGAGTGTAACATCAAGCTTAATCTTTCTGACATCCATAGTCGCTAAATATAAAAACTCTCTACAAACAACGCGAGTTCTTTTATCATCTCCCCAGGGTTGTAAAGAGCACGTCCTTGTAAATTAAAAAAGCTCCATACTATTGAGATGTTGAAATCAATGTCTGTGTGTTTAAATGTTTACCAGCAAATTGTCTCATCATCTTAATGAGAATGCTTAATGCCAGTGTGGTAAATAGTAAAATATAATGGCATAAAAGCACCTTTTTCGGAAGGCAATGTGATGTTCAGGCTGTGAAATATATATGTAAAGGAAAAATAAATGTTATTTGTTAGAGTTTAAAAAAAAAAAAAAAAAGCTCCATACTAGTAAAATGCCATTTTTGTAAGAAAAAGAATGACATATTTGGAGGGGCAGGTTTTCTTTCCCCATCTGCCTGCCCCATCCCTTTCTGGGAGGGGGTCTGTAGTGGTCATTTGTTTTTGCTGCCCAGCATCTAGCTCTCCCCCTGAAATGCACTGCACTTTTTCTTTGGGGCAACCACCTTCTCTTACTCTCAGAACATGAACATTGGGGATGTGACCCACGCCTAACCCAATTCATCCTTTGACCATGTGGACACAGAATGTTCAGGAATGAGTCTGTGACCCAACATGGGCCTTTGAGGAACCGCGAATCCCTGGGCCTGTGTGGGAGCAGACAAGAGATGTTTTGGTGCGTGGACATGTGCTCTGCAGGAGAGGAGAGGAACACTGTAGAATCTGAGGAAGGAACCAACCCTGGAGACAGCCAGAAACAAGATCCCTGGTGACCTCACAAGGGCCACTGAATCAAGCCTTGTCTGAAGCTGGATTTTAATGACAGTCAAAAAATTCTCTTTCTAATTGAAGCTAGTTTGAATTGGGTTTTCTATCATCTGCAACATAAAGTCTTTGGTGAGAAGAGTTTGTTGGCAAAGAACACACTAAGATCCTACTATGAAAAGGTGGTCAGTAGTAAGGGAGAAATTTATTTGTCTTGTAAATGTGTCATCCTGAAGACCTGAAAGACCTGGGGTTTCCTCCAGGTCTGCCCAGGACCTCTGGTCTGAAGTAGCCCTCTCAGGTGTGTGTGTATGTGAGGGCGGGGGTATAGTCGGTAGGAGCAATGCTGAAAGTACTTGATGCAAATGGACACAAAAATAAAAGTAAAATAAAAAGACTCCCATCTGAGGTAGAGTCTAGGAACTGACGGGAGATTTAATGAGGAGTATAAAGAAATGTTTTATACCTTCTCCTGGGTCCCATTGTGTTCATGATGTTCACAGTTGTCTGTGAGTCTGGTGATATGCCCATAAGATGTAGTGACATTAACATATTTGTATATAGAGAGAGGTATACAGAAAAATACCTGAAAGGAGATCCATTATGTTGATAGTACTTCATGGTACTGGGATTATGGCTTGTATTTTATTTATTTTTATTCTTATTTTATTTTTCATGATTTTCTACAGTGAATATGACATAATTTTAAAACAGGTTTTTCAAGCACAGATACACAAGGTTACATGTACTCTTAAAGGGAAGCCACATGGCTAGTTGCAATCTGGAAGTCAGAAGATCTAGCTCAAAAGTGCTTAATTTACCCTCTTACCCTTAAGTTTCCCTTTGCAAAGTTTTGGAACTAAAGGTACATGGAACCTAAGTGTGATATTGAGATTTAAATAGGAGGGTTTTCAATTCAAATCAAGTACATATAGGATTTACACTTTTCATGGGCATTGTGGTAACTTCACCAATCCATTCCACTGCTGCCGCCCCGCCCATTGTATAGGGTACATTCTTATTGGAATGAGTTTTTCCAGATAATCCCCTACATCACCCCCCTGCCTCCTTGTTTTTCCCTGTCTCTGGACCTGGGTAAAATTCTCTTAATTCATTTTATGAATTTTGTCAAGTGGCCCTTTAGTTATCTCTTATTTTGTAATTCTAATTACATATAATTCTAATATTTCCATTTGGTGCTTGGAGGTTATGTTTAAGGAGTCAGATTTTCTGCCACTTTTCCTTCTGACACTAACTTAATCTCTACAGTAGCATTTTATGCAGTAGTTTTTATGTAGCGTCCCTCTACATACTTATAGCCAACACTCAACAACTGCCCCTTAAGAAAATTCACAATGCAACGTTTTAAACACAATTTAGAAACTAATTAATTCCAATACAAGACTTCTTTACAAAAAACACATCCAAGGGCTCCTTTTAAAAAAACAAACTTCTGTTGCACATAATTAAAAAATCATAGGCCTTGATGAGTCTTTTATGATCATCTTTACAAATAAATTGAGACAGAGTGTCCACTTCAAGGGATAATAACCTAACTTTATTTTACCCAATGTTTTAGTGAATGGAATGTGTATATTTAGCTGTAACAAAGAATGATAAAATTCTTTATGAGCTGGAATGGAGAGATCTTCAGAATATAGTATTAAGTTAAAAAAGAAAGGTGCAAGCTGATCAATCTTAGCATCTCTAAATGGAGCAACCAGACAATGGCGATGGAGTCTGAAGCGTTCTTGCCAGAAAGTCAAACCTAAATCTCACCACACCTCTAGGGCTAAGTTTCATTTATAGGAAAGGAAAGAAAAGAGGAATAATTTGAATGACACCACAGGAAAGAGACAAACCCAGAATATGGAATGCTCTGCAGGACAACTTGCTTGTACAATCAGTCAGTGAGGGAGAGGCGGGGAGGAGGAAAGATTGTCTTTGATTAAAAGACAGTTAAGAGACATAATGACCAAATGCAATGCAGGAACCTAATTGGGTCTGGATTTAAACAAACCTATTGTAAGAGAACACTTTTTAGATAATCAGGGGAGTTCGATTATGAACTGGAGGATTAGATGCAATTGGATAGTACAAGGATGGTCTTGGTAAAGTTTGCATTTTTCTTTTTTTAAGGCCAGAAAGTCACTGCAGGCCAGAGAGCATTTCTAGAACTTCCTGGCAGCCAGAAGGAGCTTCTTACAGAAGCTCCCACCCCCAGTAGGGAAAACAAGTACAACTGACAGGACTGTGTCTTCCCCAGTGGAAGAGTTTGAAAACTCAGGTCAAGATCAGGATATTAGAGCAGGGAGCTGTGCATATATCACCTAACATGAACTCCTCATTTTATGTTTTATAAATGAGGGAAGTGAAATCCAGCAAGGTTATATGACAGGCCAATTTGTGTTAGAACAAAGCTAAGAATTAGCCTCAAGATTAGAGTGGAAAGGGCCCGCAAATGTGAGGATAAGGAGCATGCCCTTCACTGTAGTATTCCCCAGGTCTCAGTCCAGTGCCTGATACATAGTAGGGGCTTCAGAAGCAATGATCACACGACCGACCAATTGACTGACTTTCAGAATGAATGCATATGCTTCTAACTTGTGTTTGCTGACAACCAGCTGGACCCACACATGGGCTATTTTAAGAAGAAGACTGTTTTGGGGCCAGCTGAGTGGCATGTTGATTAGGAGTTGGCTTGGACGCCAGCTCTGAGCAGCAGGGTCCTGGTTCGGATCCCACATGAGGGCCAGTGACACTGTGCCCTCTACAGCTAAGATGGTGAACAATAGCTTGACCTAGAGCTGGGCTGCCGTGAGTCGCCATGAGCGGCCGTCCAATGGCCGGTGAGCGACTGCCTCTCCCGGGAAGAGCGCAATGATAATATCAACATGGGCCAGTGAAGCGACGTCCTCCACAACTAGGCTGAAGAACAAAAGGACAGCAACTTGTCTGTTTCCCTTCCCTGATTCCCCAGCGCTGTTCTCCTCCCCCAATTTCCCAATAAAATATTTTTAAAAAGAAGAGGACTGTTTCATCAGCAATATCAGAAGGCTTTCTTTACTTGCTGAGAGACGCTCTTGTTGACTGAGTAACACTTCTTCCTCTTGAGTATTGCTTCCTTTTTGTTGATACTAACAGGATAAATACCACTTACAGGATGTGTGTGGTGTAGCATGACAGAGAACTGAGGTTTCCTTTGATGTGATTGTAGACTCGGCAACATTAGCAGAAGAATGATCAGTAGTCAGATGCTCTGGTGTGCTGGGCTGGGCTGGCACTCCGGGAAGTGGCCACCACTCATATGATTGTGGAATAGAGACGTAGTTGAGGCAAGTACCCAGTTCAATTGGAGAATTGAATGACACCTAAACAGACCCGTTCTTTGAGTTTTCTTCTGCAGAACCCATGTTTTCACATCTTTCCTTTGACTGTGTCCTGCTGTGGCTGCTACTACTTACAAGTAAGTCTGGGTATGGACTTTTGCAATTGGACAGTGCAAGATAAAGATGCAAGGATAGTTGTTGTAATGTTTGCACTAGAGAAAGTTTGGAAGCAACCTAAGTGTCCACAAACTGGGTAGTGGACAAAATAAATAAATTGTAATATACCCATGATGCAAACAGTGAAGCTGACTAAATATAATGATATAAAATGTCTCTAAGTCGTAATGTTAATTGAAGGAAAGCAAGGAGTGGAATAATGCATATAGTAGACGTGTGTGTGTGTGTGTGTGTGTGTGTGTGTGGCATGGTGTGGGAATTCATGAATGTTTCTTAATGTATGTACTCTGGGAAGGGGAGCTAGATCGATCAGCGGTTCTCAACCTGTGGGTTGCGACCCCTTTGGGGGTAGAACGGCCCTTTCACAGGGGTCGCCTAAGACCATCGGTAAACAAAAAGATACTTACATTATGATTCATAACAGTAGCAAAGTTACAGTTACAGAGTAGCAATGAAAATAATTTTATGGTTGGGGGTCACCACAACATGAGGAACTGTATTAAGGGGTTGCGGCATTAGGAAGGTTGAGAACCGCTGAGCTAGATAATGGGGAAAAGCAGAGAGGGAGTAGACTTTTTATACATATCATACTGTATGACTCTTTTACCATATACACACACACACACACACACACACACACACACTCGTATATATAGTATTTATTTAAAGGCAATTAATTTTAAACCTAAAAACAGCTATACATTAACTGCTTTTTTTTTTTTAGATTTTATTGGAGAATTGGGGAAGGGGAACAGTGTTGGGGAAGGGGAACAGCCAAGTTGTTGTCCTTTCATCTTAGTTGTAGAGGGCACAGCTAGTTCAGCTTCAAGTCCAGTCACCATTCGGCTGCCTGCCGGCAGCTTGTGGCCACTCAGCTCAAGGTGCTGTGTTCAATCTTAGTTGTGGGGGCGTAGCCCACCATCCCATGTGGGAGTCGAATCCGGAAACCTTGTTCTTAGGAGCATGTGCTCCCACCAGCTGAGCCATCCTGCCACCTGTCAGCAGCTCAGCGGCAGCTCAGCCCTGGCACAGCTCACTGGCCCATGTGGGAATCGAACTGGGGACCCTGTTGCTCAGAGCTTGTGCTCTTAACCAACTGAGCCACTCGGCTGGCCCTACGTTAGCTTCTTGTTCAGGCAAGGGTTTTTATTCACTATGTGCCTGGTGCTAAAAAAGAGAGAAGAAGAATTGTGTTAGGATGACTGCCCTTTGCTGATGAACAGACAACTCGCCCAAATAGCTGAGCTGTTTTCCTGGCTGACAATGACTGTCTATTTCCAACAGCCCTGCCCCTTGGTATTTACAGAGCTGGGCCACAGTTCTCTCCTAGAGCACTGGTTCTCAAAGTGAGTTCCAGGCCAGCCATGTCAGCAATTACTGGGGACTTGTTAGAAATATAAATTGTTAGGCCCCACTCCAGGTCATTTAATTCAGGAACTCTAGTAGTAGAGCCCAGCTGTATGTGTTTTAGCAATGCTGCCCGGTGGTCCTGGTGTCCTCAAGTCTGAGTCATTGCCATAGCGAACCATCCTCCAAATGGGACAGCAGCAGCGGTTTCTTGTTTATTCTACAAAGCATTACTTGCAGTTTTCCTGAAGTGGACCAGTCTCACTCATTGCCTCGTCTTTCTCTCCCTTTCTCTTTATTCAGGGTCTTTGAAAGGGTCATACGTAGTTGAGGTGGGTCAGAATGCTTATCTGCCCTGCAACTATTCTCCAGCCAACTCTCAGAACCTGGTACCTGTGTGCTGGGGCAAGGGATCCTGTCCTCTGTTTGAATGTCAGAGTCTGGTGCTCAGCACTGATGGAAGGAACTTGAAGTATCAGCAATCCAGCAGATATCAGCTAAAGGGGGCTATCCAAAGAGGAGATGTGTCCTTGACCATAGAGAATGTGACTTTATCCGACAGTGGGACCTACTGCTGCCGCATCCAGTTCCCAGGCCCAATGAACGATAAAAAATTAGACCTGAAGTTGGACATCAAAGCAGGTGAGTAGACCTTAGCATCCTTTCTTTATGAATAAGATTCACCTGCAGGTGATATTAAATATCCTGGTTGGCCTCACCTCATACCTCCCCAGTGACAGCCCTGCGGATGGACCCCAAAGACCTACAGGCCCACCAGCAGTGCCCAGCCATGTTTAATTCCTCTGTCCATATTGAAACTCATGGATAGGCTCTTTGAAAGGGGAGGAGAGACCTAGGTCATGGTTTGAGACCCTGACTGCTCAATAGACTCACTTGGGGAACTTTTTCACACCTACTGATGCTGGGGCTCCACCACAAGCCAGAGAAACCAGTGTCTCTGGAGGTAGAGCCTGAGCACTGGGATTTTTACAAACTCGTCCTCAGGCGATTCCCCGCCACGTGCAGGCAGGATTGAGACCGGCTGGACTACGTGTGTGTGAGGGTGCATGTACTTGTATGTTTTCAGGTTTATAGAGCATGTACTTTGTGGCTGATGGAGCTATGTTCAGCTCCAGCTCTGACCCTCATTAGCTGTGTAGTCTCGGACAAGTTATGTAAACCCTGTGACCCTCTCCTCTATAAAATATGATAATACCCACCAGATAGGCCATTGGATGGATTTTAGGAGATGTTTTATGAAAAGCATTTAGTGTGGCCATTTGTGTGACTGTTAGTTCTCTTATCAACAATTACACTGCGACAATGATGACTAAGTAACACAGCTCTGAAAATGTGTAACAGACACTTTAAGAGTGTGATGTACTCTCCATGAAGGTGTCCAGGTTTGAAAGTTGGGTATGTGTTTCTCTGTACCTGTTGTGTTTCCTATTTTTTTCTGCTGCCTCTTTGATTCCCTGAATCGAGCTCTCTGCTCTCAGAGAAGCCTCATCCTTACATTGGTTTCTGACATTAGCCACGGTCACCACCTCTGCTTGGACTCCATGGAGAGACTTCACTACAGCCTTTCCAAGACTACTCACCACCGAGGGACACGACTCAGGTGATTATACATGGGAAGTAGGGGGAAGCCTTTAGGTGGCTTCTGAGTTCAGTAGATATTAAATATGGGGAAAGAGGAGAAAAAGTTCAAGAGAGGAGGCATGAGTGTTTCTGCGCACCTGCGATGGTATTGGAGGTGGAGATAAAACTGCTGGGAAAAATGAGCCCCGAGCTGGGATCTGGGTTAGTCAGGATCTAGCCCAGGGCCAATACCCTTAGCTTATCTGAGTCTCAGCTTCCAGTTCTGTCCAGATTTTTGAATTTCATGACCCAGTAAAATTCCTGACCTACCCCAGAGAAATTTCAATCTACATGTTTTGCCAAGTAAGGAAAGCAAAATTTCTAATATTGCCATCACTGAAAAAAAAAAAAAAAGGACAGTCTTAAATTAAGTAAATTTAATCTAATGAAAAGCTCTTTACATTGTTCTTATTGTTTTCTGATTTATCTCTGGACTGGTGATGTTTTGTCTTGAGTTGGCCCCAGTCCAGATCTGGGGTTAGAGTAGGTGATTTCTAGGACCCCCTCTAACTGCAATGAAGCCCAGCAGCATCCTCAGATTTTGATCTCAGTAAGAGCAGCTAAATTCTTTAAGTAATTCAGCAAGGACCTTTTCATCCTTCTCTGGAAGAGAAGATAGGGCCAGAAAAGGAGACCTCAGGTCACATTGATCAGAAAGATTAATCTTAAATATTTCCTCTTGGAGTCCTAGTCTCTCAACTCTGTGGAGCTCAGTTTTTTTTATTCTGTAAAATGAAGTTAATAGTAGGTAAATTCCATTTCCTAATCTCATCAATCTCCTAAATCCCAATTTATGAGATTTAAATAAGAAAATGTGACTGAAGTTCTTAGCCCAGTGTCTGATCATAGTCTATACTCAATACATGTTAGTCACATTGTTGTTAACATTATTAGTGAGATCCGGAGGCAGAGGGAGATTATGGGTAAGTGCTTCGGTGACATGGAGAATGGGTTCTAATGTCAGCTCCTCATACTTCCTTTGGAACTTAGCGGAAGTTGCTCAAAGTCTGTGAGGCTCAATTGCCTCACTTCTCCAATGAGGGTAACTCCTGTGCCTACTTCATAGGATTGTTGTAAAGACTGAATGTGATATTGTATGTAAAGTGCTCAGCATTGTTCCTGGCCCACAGAAAGCACACAAAATTAGTTTTTATGGTTATTAACTTCAGCCCTGTAAAGGTTTAATCTTTGGTGGTTCTTGAGTGATTGTTAGCCAGCATCATTTATGCAGTTGGTGAGGACATGAAATATGGTGGGAACAGATGATCATCCACATTGTGGGCTAATCAAGTAATACCAACGATTTATTGTATGCTATGATTGTATTTTTTAAAATCCTACAGCCATAGACCTAGAAGGGACTTCAGGGCTCATTTCGCACCCTTTTCCCATCCTGTGTTCCAATGTTCTTTATAACATCACCACTAAGTGGGCATTCACTCTGTGCCCACACACCTTCCTGGATGGGACTTCACTGCCTCACAAGACAGTGCATTTCCTTAGAGTGGTCTAGACCAGGGGTGTCAAACTGGCGGCCCGCGGGCCGCATGCGGCCCTCAAGGTAATTTTTTGTGGCCCATGATGCTCTGAAATAAAATGAAAATAGAAAAAATTGTTATGAAGAAAATAGCGCTTAGGGGAGATCAAGGCAATACCTTACACACAATTCCCTCATTAACCCTTTAACTACTGAAGACGAGTATACAAAAAATTACCTCAAGAGCCGCATGCAGCCTGTGGGCCGTCAGTTTGACACCCCTGGTCTAGACCATTAACAGAAGTCTCCTTCCTTTTAATTTTTACTTGCTTGTTCCTTCCTTCTAGGCAATAAAAATGGGGCCATCTCTTGCATCAGGAAATATAGGCACAGTACCTACAATCTCTGAGCTTTTCAAAAGCTTGAGAAAATATTTAAACAAACAAAAAAAGGCAATGTCTTCAAAATAGGAAAAGAAAGTGAAATTCAAATGAAAGATATTTAATGGCATGTCTCTAATCAGTAACATCATGTAGTTAGTTACTCCCAAATCAACTCATATGTAGTTATATACACCTTTTCTTTAATGTGGAATGTTGGCACATTTTATATGTTTGCTATAAAGTGGAGTGGAGCCTTTATAAGGGTTCCAAGGGATCATGGAAGATCCTAAATCCATCTTGAAAACACAACAAATGCAATCTCTCTTCCACCTTAACAGGTAGAAATTGGTTATGGGTAAGTCCTCAACTCTGGAGGATTTTAAATCTCAGTTTTGCTAATTAATAGCTATGTGACCTTGGGCAAAGTACCTCTCTGAGACTCAGTTTCTTCATCTGAAAAATGGGAAAATAATAGTACCTGCCTATTGTGATGAAGATTAAGTGAGATTTTGTATGTAAAGTGCTAAGCACCCTGTCTGGCGCATAATACATGCTAGATAGTAACTATTAATTGTATGTACTTTTAAGATTGTCACATTCCACGCCCCCACTGCTGCTTCCCCAAAACCAAGTGTTGGGTTCCCTAGAAAAAGCATTACAACTTTTTCCAATTCTGCCACACGTCTCAGTTGATGACTATGTGAAAATAAGCCGTGATGACCTAAAAGAGCTCTATTTTATTAATCATTTTCACTTTAAAAGAAGTAAAAGAAAAAAAGGAGAAGTCAGACAGTTTTGCCATTTAGGCCAAGTAAAAACAATTACAGGGAAGTAGAAACTGGATTTACAGTAGAAAACCTTGTGTGTGGTTAGGTTCATGTTTACTTAGCAGTTCCACCAGTGTGGTATTTATACTTTAAATTCCTTTTGGGCAATAAAAACAAAGGTAAGTGGAAGATAATCTCTTTCTGTTTTTTTAAAAAAATACTTTTAGGCTGAGACTATGCTCATAGAATATTAAAGTTAGAGTCTGTGAAACCAGGGGTTCTATATTAAAGGATTTAGACTTTTAGAACCCCAGAAAGTGATCATGATGCTTAAGAAGTTTTAGTGTCTCTGACTCAGCCGACAATTTCCCAAAGCCGGCAATCTGCTGAGGTTTAGGATGCAGAGCCTATGAGGTCAGGGTCCATGCCCCTCTTGTTCTCTTCTGTACGCCCCATGCCTGACAGAGTCGAGGTGTAGTACATGTTCATCGAATGGATAGGCAGATGAATAAATAAATGAACAAAAAGGAAAGAAGGTGAGCTGGCAGCTGGGCCATGTGATGCACTTAGTAGTAACATGACATGTAAAGGTGGCTAACGGCAGCAGTTAAGAGTGTATGCTTCTATTTACAACAGCCCAGATATGGAAGCAACCTAGGTATCCATTGATAGAGGAATGGGTCAAGATGTATATACAATGGAATATTACTCAGCCATAAAGAAGAATGAAATCTTGCCATTTGTGACAACATGAGTTGACCTAGAAGGTATTATGCTAAGGGAAATAAGCCAGATAGAAGAAGACAAATACCCTATGGTTTCCCTTATACACGGAATCTAAAAAAACAAAACAAATGACCCAACAAAACAAAATCAGACTCATAGCAACAGAGATCAAACCAATGGTTGGGGGGTTGGTAGGTGAAAAAGGTGATGGGAAATATAGTTAATACTATTGTGATAAGTTTCCACAAAAGATTGTTGGTGACAGATGATCACTAGACTTAGTGTGGTGATCACATTGTGAAGTATTTAAATGTCAAATCACTATATCGTATACCTGAAACTAATATAATATTGTATACCAACTATACTTAAATAAAGAATGTATGCTTAAAGTCATGCAGACCTAAATTGGAAGACCATTTCTGTCATTCACTAAGCCATGTGACCTTAGTTGTCACTGAACTTCCTAATTCTCACCTTCTTCATCTGTGTAATGGGGCTAATTGTCCCTACCTTAGGGTAGTTATTTTGAATGTTAACTGAAGTACCTCAAGAGTTGAGCATAAAGCCTGCTCATGGTAAATGCAGCGATAGTAATTTTTATTTTCATTTTTAGGCAACCAAGTAGGCTGCCTTCCTCTCATTGAGAAAATGCGAAACTTTTTCAAGAAAATTAACTTGTTATCTGTTGAGGTCTGAATTATAATGCCTGCCTGAGTGTTATCAGTATTGTTAGAATTTTGCAGACCCCATTAGGGCTCTGTGGGCACAACAAACTGTGTATTCAACTTAAATCTTCCTAGCAGAAATCTCCATTTCATAGAACATAAGTAGCTGGGTTCATTACCTGGATGAAAAAAAATATGGTCATCTTAAAGTTGATTTGTAAGTGTTTAGCAAATTTTGTTGGTCTCCCAATTAATTATTGTGAAAACTATGGAGTAGAATTAATTTCAAATAGGATTATAGGCATCTTTAAGATTTTTTTTTTTAACTCAGATAAAGGGAAATATTTTTAACTGTTCTGTTGGGTTTTCTTCCTCTTTGTGGCAGAGACACAGACACTGGGGAACTTCCATGATAAAAATCAAACAGTAAGTTCCTTTTTGTGTGTGTGAGCTAACACTGTGTTTAAGACAGAGAAAAGAAAGTATGACTTTAGCCTTCCCTCCTACGCACTCTTTCCTTGGGGGAAAAAATGCCTCCATCTCCCTTAGCTTCAGATTCCCTGGCTGTAACATATTGATGATGACATTTCTAACTGCATAGACCTGTTGTAAGGATGGAATGTGGTGATGCATGGAAAGTGTCTGGCACATAGTAAGTGCCGGAAAACCAAAAAAAAGTATTAGCATTTTATCCCTCTTCTCAAAGTTCACAGCTATATACCACTGTGGAGAATTCAAAGACCCCCCACAACCCTAGAACATGTTTCTTCTTGCTTCCATTGCAACCCAATTGAGAAAGATGCTTTCGTTGTTGTTGTTTACATTTATTTATTTATGTACGACAAGGCACCGGTCAGGAATATTTAAGTCAGGAACTTATATATCTAAGTATAAATCAATATTACAATTAACCCCAATTTTAGTGTCCCCCCACCTTCTTAGAGTACAAAGGGAAACTACTAGAAAGCAAACTTATAATAATGACCTTAAACATTCTTTGAGGACTTATTCAGGGGTCCTCATTCATTGGACTTAACTTCCTACTTGTGTGTTCACAGCCGAGGCGCAGCGTTTTGTGCTTCGCCCTCCTGTTTGCAGTCAAGGTCTGCGTTTTAAGTGCCTCTCTGCACCCATGTGCTAGATGCTCAGTATTTTACATACAGCACTCCTGCAGTAAACATTTATTGAATAAACGGAAGATTTAATTCCCTTGACTTCTTTGTTTTAAAAGTGTTTACTATAATTTTTAAAGGGGAAACATGGACTGAAATTTTAGACACAGAGAAATTTCTGTGTGATTCTCAGTTATCAAAAAACCAAATTAATTAGAACAATAGCAATAATAGCTATTATTGATTAAGCATTGATCAGTTACCAAGCCCTGTGCCAAGCATTTTATATATTTTGTCACTTAAATTTTCCAATAATTCTACAAGGTGACTCGGCTCTTGGTGGCAGAGCTGGGATTTGAACCCAGGACTGTCTGGCTGCAAAGCCCTGGCTCCTCCGTCACTGTCTCTCTGTGAAAATAGGGGCTTCACTGCAAGGCACTGAATTTGACCCCTCTGAAATTCCCTGGGAACACCAGGGGATCTGGAATGAGTAGGAGTCTACTCTAAAGCCCATTTTTGTTTGTGGGAGAGCAGATCCATTTAAGAGCGCCTTCTCTTCCCACAGCACAGGTCATATTTCATTCCCTTGATAACTCCAAAGATTAAGCTACCGTATTTTGCCATATGTAATGCACTTCCTTGTATAATGTGCTCCCGTGTATAGTGTGCAACCACGTTTTTGGCCCAGACTTTCAGGGAAAAAATCTTTCATTTTGATGTTTTCAAATTTTTATTTGTTTACATTTAGGTACTTTTTTTTTTGTATTAGAAAGGAATTTTAGCATTTATTTTTAATTTTTTTAAAGATTTTATTAGGGAATTGGGGGAGGGGAACAGTGTTGGGGAATCGCGGAAGGGGAACAGACAAGTTGCTGTCCTTTTGTTCTTCAGTCTAGTTGTGGAGGACATCGCTTTACTGGCCCATGTTGGTATTATCATTGTGCTCTTCCCGGGTGAGGTAGTCGCTCCCCGGCCATTAGACGGCCGCTCACAGTGGCTCACAGCAGCTCACGCTGGCTGCTGGCCACTCTCGGTAGCTTATGGTAGCCCACTGCAGCAGGGGCTGCAGCCTACATCGTTGCCAGCGACTCACAGCATCCCAGCTCTAGGTTGATTTGTTGTTCACCATCTTAGCTGTAGAGGGCACAGCGTCACTGTCCCTCATGTGGGATCTGAACCGGGGTCCTGCTGCTCAGAGCTGGCATCCCAAGTCAACTCAACCAACGTGCCACTCGGCTGGCCCAACATTTATTTTTTAACATATTATGGTACAAGAAATTTTATGTACTAGTAACACATTTATGATATTTATGTATCACAGAAGACTAGAACTCTGTTATTGCAATTTTGTTGTAAGTTCAACAAAACCAATTGTCGTATTCCAGGGTATTATTTTCCATTTGGATATCATTATTGATTTCTAGAGTTACACTTTTAGCTCATAAGCATAAATAAAAGAATTAAAAACATTTATATAGATACAGAATTAGTACTACCCATGTATAATGCATGTCCTTATTTTTCCCCTCACAAATTTGGGCAAAAAAGTGCGCATTATACATGGCAAAATACGGTACTCACTTCCTTTTTAAAATATTGTTTCTTTTAAAAAACTTTGTTGCTGTTGTTGTTTTTATTTTTATTTATTTATTTTTGTTAAGCTACTCACTTTCTTTGGGTGGTTTGAAGTTTGTCTAGAAGGGAACAGATCAAGAGTTTGTTTCACGCTCGCTGTACACCTGTGATGTTATAAAAGGGAAGGTCCAAAGCACAGGTCATGAGAATGGCTCAGCACACGACCAATTTCTGCCCATATGCTACAATTCTGTTTGTGTTTTCATAGCAAATATCCACAATGGCTCATGAGTTACAAGATGCTGGTGTGATCACCAGCATAAGCATCTACATCGGAGCAGGGATCTCTGCTGGGATGATTCTGCTTCTTATCGTTGGTGCTTTAATTTTCAAATGTAAGTCATTTGGTGTTGCTTTTCTCTCACCCTGATAAAGAGCTGTTAATATAGAAACCAACATAAACCTAGATCGACACATAAATTTCTATTTATACCCAAAGGTAATTAGACTTAAACTCTTTAGTCCTTCTAAACCCTAACAATAATAATAGCTTATTTTTGTTCAACAGTTACTATGTAACAGGCAGGCTTTGTGCTAAATGTTTTATATGCGTTTTATCATCATCTCCATCTTATAAGGTAGGTAGGATTATTATCTCCATTTTACAGTAGAGGAGAATAGAATTTGGAGATAGCCACTTTCCCAAGGTTTCAGAATCAATAGGTGGCAAAGATGGAATCGAAATTCAGGGAGGCTGATTCCAGTACCTGTTCCCTTTTGTTAAGAAAATGAACCTTTTTAATTCATGAATATGCATATGTCTATCAGGATGCAAAACAACGAAAACCATGTCCTGTGAATTTTTCTGTCTTCTTTGTTTCTAAGGCATAGGTCGTTAGAGAGGGGTATCAAGTCTGTTTAACATTGGATCATGGCCAGGATGGCAGCATGACTATTTTCCTACATTGTGATACTCAATACACACATTTTTAAGTTACTTATCTTTATTTTTAAAAATATTATTAAAGGATGATTTATATGTGATGAGCTTCATGTTTAAAGTGTGTTGAACTTGGTGAATTTCAGTAGAGGATTACACCTGGCAAACTATGACCACAGTCAAGACCCAAATACTTCCATTGACCCAAAAGCCTCACACGCTTTTATAATTGTGATATGTTCTCTGTGAGGGCAGAAGCCAAGGCCTTAGACCCAGCAGCCATTCCTAGTACCAGATGTGCACTGTGTAGGGTGAGCAACTGTCCCCGATTTGCCCAGGACTAAAGGAGTTTCCTAAGATGTGGAACCTCCAGTGCTAAAAGTGGAACAGTCCAGGGAAAACTGGGATAAATTGGTCACACTAACTGTGTGGCTAGAAGCTGCCAAGTACTTTATGTGCATTTAATCCTTACAACTGCTCCACTGGAAAGGTACTGGTATTATTTTTACTGAACGAATGGACAACCAGCGTGCCAAAATGTTAAGTAACACACCCAGATCACACAGTTAATTGATAGATGTAGGCTTTGAAACCAAGGCTATCCGGCCACTCCCTATTATGTTGTTCGGCCATCATTGCTAAATGGATTGTGAAGAGAAGCAAAGGATACCACCTACACTTACCAATGTTTACCAAGAGGTAGCAGTGAAATTTGTGACTTGATCATGAGCATGAAGTGTATGGGTTGATAAGGAGCAATGATAACATTCATTAGCATTTTAAGTTCTGCCAGCTCTGGATATTAGGGACCATTCTAGTATGGATAAAGGGGTTTGAAGGGAAGGTAATGAAGAGTGGGAGAAATCTGACATTTTGTATATGTATGTATATATTACTCCAAAATCATGCCTACTTAGAAGAACAGATGGGGAAGTCCTGTTTGATTTGAAATCGTTTCCCTGGCAGTTGCTAGAGAAAACCTTACAACCAAGGTGACAGGTTTTTAAGTCATGACATCAAAGCCATAAATTGGCCCTCAGTGATGCCGAGCAATCAAGATCTTTCTAGTGCACTCAGTGATATGAGCATCTATATCCCACTGCCACTCAAACCGCCTTTGTTTCTCACTCAGCTGATGAAGCGTCAGAGGCCTGTTCCATCCTCTTTGCCTGAACCCAGACTTCATTCCTCCTTTTCTCCTTTTCTCTAGAATTCTCTCTCACCCTTTCTGCTTATGCTATTTTCATTAGCGTAAAAATGTTCTAGTTTACATTCTTCTCTAGCTACTCCCATTTCTCTGCTTTTCTTAACAGCCATATTTATAAGAAGACTTGTCCCTGCTTCTCAGCTCCTGCATTCTTCAACCCACCATCTCGCTTCTACCCCCAAAGCACCATGGAAGTAGTTTTAGTCAAGCTCACCAATGACCTCCATTTTGCTAAATCCCATAGACACCTCTGTCTTCATTGGAGTCACTGTTTCAGCAGTATTTCACTAAGTTGATTTTCAGTCATTCTAGAAAGTGTTTCTTCTCTTGGCTTCTGAAACACCACTCTCCTGATCATTGGCTATTCCTTTTCAGTCATTTTTGTTATTGTTTTCTTCTGCTTGACTCTTATATGTTGAGATTCCTTAGGGCTGGCCCCTTCCATCTCTCTACAGATCTAGGTGATGACCTATATTTCCATAGCCTTAAATGTCATCTTTAATGTCTCTCTCCAGCTTTCAGAGTGTCTGCCCAATTGCTACCTCCACATCTAACATGTACAGGGGAGCTCTAGAGACCATATTATACTTTCCCAGAATGCAACCTCACCCGCCCTGGTTTCTCCCATCATAGTGTTTCACTGCTACCCATCTGGTTGCTTAAGCCAGAAAGCCAGAAACCATCCTTGAATCCTCTCTTTCCTCACTGCTAACACAATCCAAGTTCAATTCCTGTAGCCTTTCTCCAAAACACTATCTCCAAAATGAAATCCATTCATTATTCTGCATGTCTCTGGGGCACTGCCTTACTCTGAGGCATCATCATCTCTACTTACTGCCTCACTTTTTTACACCTTATTGTGATCCACATTTCACATAGCAGCCTGAGTGATCTTAAAACCCACTCAGATCATATTTCTGTCCTTCATTATTTCTTACAGTCCTCAGAATAAAATCCAGTCCCTTGATTAGGACTTAAAAGGTCCTATAGGATGTGGCCCTAGGCTACCTCTCAAACCTTATCTTGGGTCATTCTCTTATTCCAGCCATATTTTCAGTTTCAGCCACTCACCATGATCTCTATCAGGGCCTCTGTCTTCCTGGAATGCTCCCTCTGGCTCTTCACTTGACTGACTCATTCTCTCCTTTCAGAGCCGACCTTAAAGTTCATCTCTTCCTCCTCCGAGAGTTCTTTGCAGGCCCCCTCTATTGTCAGTACATTGTGGGTTTTCTTTATCACATCACAATGAGAAATTATTATTGTTGTTATTATTATTTTTTTAAATGTCACCCTCACTAGAACACAGCTTCTCAAAGTCAGGGCTGGTAATTCACGTTCCTGTCCTCAGTGCTTAGCATACTACCAGACACGTAGTAGGTGTTCCATATGTTTATTACATATGAAAAACGCATCTTTGTTTCTTTCTAGCATAGTTCATGTAATGAACCAAGACACACACTGGTAGTTTGATTGAATTCAACCTAAGGGGAGACAGATTTCCCTAAACAATCCTTGCCTCCAGTGAGCCCATTTATTTCTTATCTCATTTACTTATGAAAGCAATTTTAATTGACTTTTCTTCCCTTTTTACCTAGGGTATTCTCATAGCAAAGAGGAGTTACAGAATTCAAGGTAAGAATAAGTGGTGGGGTAGGGGAAGGCCCTACTGTAACATGGCTTTGATGTTTGCTCTTAGAAGTCCTGTCCTGGGACTTTGGGATCTAAACTTCTCTTTCCTTTTTGCTTTAGGCCTAGATTTATGAAATGCAAACACGATGCTCTCTTTACTCCCTGACCCCTCTAGCTTCTCTAGTCCTAAATTTAAGGTATAACATTTATATCCCCATTGATATGAAATGCTGTTTTATTTTAATGTTGATGGGTCTTTTCAATCAACTGACCCTTCAGTTGATGAAGCCTTTTCGCCATCCAGGTTGTGTCTGGGCACTGGGTTCCAGAAGTGAACAAGAAACCCAGAATCTATTCTCAGTGATTTTTACTGCTCAGTCAGGGGTCCTTTACTCTAATAACCTATTAGAATCATTTACACAATCTATTGTCAGCCTCAGAGCAAATAAGCTTGAATCTTAAGGGATAAGGCCTCAGCATAGATATTTTTCTAAAAGCTTCCCAAATGATTCTTCTGTGCAAACAGGGTTGAGAATGACTGGTCTGTTATATTGTACTCTTAGTCTCCATTCCTGACTGTATTCATACATGTCCGTGCACACACACGTACATACCCCGATTCCTAATACACAGAGCTTATGTAGCTTTTACTCGATTTTAGCGACGTTTGGTATGTTGGTAGAATGCAGAATATTTCAAGGAAAAAATGACTCTGTACAGTGAATACTGCCTGAACCACTCATAGTTTTAGACTAAGTATGGGCAGTTTACTTATGAAGACAAAATGGTCTGCAGTAAAGAAGTCAAAAAAGGTCAAATAAAATGTTTAATTATCCATGGTTTTAGATTATCTGTGTTAGTAGTCTTTCTTAAAGCTGAAACCTGAAATGTGGTAACATTCATAGATAACATTAACATGCATTAATTCATTATTTGTGACATCGTTTGGTTAATGTTCATCTTTGCCTATAAAGGTAAGCTTCATAGAAAATAAAAAACTTGTCTGCCACATTAACACCTGTATCACAGCTCCTTTGATTATTACGCACTTAATAGATATTTGGTTACTGAATGAATAAATGCTCCTTACAGCAGCTCAGTGAGATAGCACGCTTATTATTACCATTTTACAGATGAGGACCCTGAGACACAGAGTTTACTAATATGTAGCCATCATGGGATCTCTGTGTATTGTTCACTGCTATACCTCTTGCTGCATAAAGTAACACACTATTTTTTGAGTAAATGAATGAAAATATAAAACCCAACTTACTCAAAGTCAACTTACAAACTCAATGGCTTGTAAGTGACAGAGTCATAATTCAAACTCAAATCTGATTGGATACATAATATATTCATTTCTTTTTGAAATTTTTCTAGTCTACAAAAGAATTGAAATAACAGTACAAGGAACAATAGAACCCTTTACCTAAATGCGAGATTTAACATGTTGATATGTTTGCTTTATCTGTTTCTCTATTTATACACACGATTCTTTCTGAACCATTTTAAGAATGTTTCGGGTATCTTGACACTTCACCTAAACACTTCTGTCGTAATTTCTCAGAATAAGGATATTCTATTCTCTTAGATAGCACAATGCCTTTTTTTTTTTAAGATTTTTTGTTGGGGCATTAGGAAAGGGGAACAGCCAAGTTGTTGTCCTTCAGTCTTAGTTGTGGAGGGTGCAGCTAGCTCAGCTCCAAGTCCGGTTGCCATTCTGCTGCCCATCGGCAGCTCGCAGCCGCTCAGCTCAAGGTGCCATGTTCAATCTTAGTTGTGCGTGGGCATAGCCCACCATGCCATGTGGGAGTTGAACTGGCAACCTTGTTGTTACGAGCACTTGCTCTCACCAGCTGAGCCATTGTGCCACTTGGTGGCAGCTCAATGGCAGCTCAAATCCGGTGCAGCTCACTGGCCCATGTGGAAATCAAACCGGTGACTGTATTGCTTAGAACTTGCGCTCTTAACCAACTGATCCATTCAGCCGGCCCAATGCCAATTTTATACTTAAGAAAATTAAGTTTAATTGAAATTTCCTCAATGTTCCTCAAATTATTTTATTGTATTTTATGTTCCCCCGCTAGTCTGGACCTAGTCTAGCATGACGCACTGCACTTGGTTGCTATCTCTTCAGCAAAATCTATTCTCTTTATTCTGTGTTGCCCAGGAAAGGCTTAACTCAACCACAACTTTTTATTTCCACAGCCTCATCACTTTGGCTAACCGCCCTCCCTCAGGGTTAGCAAATATAGTCAATGGGTTGCACTCAGAGGGAAACATCTATACCATTGAGGAAAACATATACGAAATGGAGGATCCGTCTGAGTACTACTGCTCCGTCAGCAGTGGGCAGCCATCCTGACAACCTCGGAGTCACCCTGCTGTGCCATCAGACCCAACTTCATTCTTGAGCTTGAATTATCTTCTTTGAAAACTATGAAATGTGTCAGCTGACTGAGTTTAAGTTTCTGTCACGGCTACCGAGCACTGTTTTTCCATTTTCTGAAGACAAATAGCTCATGGAGGGTTGAACCATGACCTCACTGTACTCACCCAGTTTCCAGCATTATCTCTGCATTCCAACCAACGAGGTTACTCAATTGGAGACTGCTAGTTAGGCAATTACAACTCAAATGGGCTTTTGTGTAGAGTGGAATTCTTCATATGGGGTCTCTGGAATTCCAGGAAATTCAGTCACATGATGTGTCCACAAAGCTCCTGGAAATGTAATGAAAATTATGTGTTAATACATGTGCATGTCTTTTTTGGTACAGAAAATGTAAAAGAGCCACTGATTTTCAAAGAGATCTGTGACCAATAAAAGGTTAAGAAACGAGTGGAGTGGGAGTAGATGTTGTTGAAGGTTCCCTTGGCATCTCAGGGTTTATGCTTCTTTGAATGTTGACTCTCCAACACTAAGTGCCACTGCACAGCTCTCCTCCGTCAGTTAAGAAGACGGCCCCGCAAGCCTGTTGTGTGACAGAAGCTCCTGGAGAAAAAGGAAGCGTGCTCAGTGTATGTTGCCGAGTTTTGTTTGTGGTGCACTGACAGGGATAGATCTGTGACCAACTTCTCTATTCATGGAGAGAACTGGACCTATGTTTTTTCACAGAAGAAGAAGCAGTGCCTGGGACACAGATTTCGTTTCCTGGTGGAAAGAAGGCAAAGGGCTCCAGCAATTTGTATTCAGCCGCATCAAATCCCTTAATGGAAAGACAATGGTCCCTAAGCTTCAATTCCAAGATTGTGGAGACTAACTCCATCTTACTTATTTGTTGCCTCCCTAGTGCCCGGGACTGCCTCACACATAATACAAATTTACTAAATATCTTTGGAGTGAAAACAGTAAATAAACAGAAAGGTAGCTTCCTCAAAAGACTTTTCCATTGCAGAGTTCAGGCAGACTTCTGGAACCTCACGTCTTACAGAACTCGCAAGTTCCCCAAGCTCCTGTATGTACTCTTCTGTAGGCAAAGTGGCCTTGGCTGGGGTCGGTCAAGTGGCTCATTGGTTAAGAGTTGGTTTGGAAGCGCGAGCTCTCAGCAGCAGGGGCCCTGGTTCGGATCCCACATGGGCCAGTGACACTGCCCTCTACAGCTAAGATAGTGAAGAACAGCTCAACCTGGAGCTGGGCTGCTGTGAGTTGCCGGTGACGGTGTAGGCTGCAATGGGGCTGCAGTGGGCTGCCATGGGCTACCGTGAGTGGCTGGCAGCCAGCATGAGTGGCCGGCAGCCAGTGTGAGCTGCCGTGAGCCACTGTGAGCGGCCATCCAATGGCCGGCAACCGATCTGCCTCAGCTGGGAAGAACACAATAATGATAATATCAACATGAGTCAGTGACGCGGTGTCCTCTGCCTCTAGACTGAAGAACAAAAGGATGGTAACTTGTCTGTTCCCCTTCCCCGATTCCCCAATAAAATATATATTTTTAAAGTGGCCTTGGCTTCTCAGCATCATCTTCCATCCCAGGCCCTTGAAAGCCTGTTCCCGTCTTGTCCGGTTCCCCCTTTCTGCTGAGCCCTCCTCAGCATGTAAGAACTCCATCTACCATATGGACTCTCACTGCCTGCAAACTACCCTCCCTAGGCGATGATGAGAGTGCTGCTGTGCTGCACGCAATAGATGCTGGTCAGCAGACGCAGGCAGCCTGTTTGTGTGTTTCTAGAAGTCTTTCTGGCAGTCTGAGTTATGGTGTATATTGTGTGAATATGGTGTTTGGGCTGCGTCTAGACAGTTTTGGGAAGCACTGGCTTTCCACAAGGAGATACGTGTTTGTAAGGGAGATCAGTTTACAAAATCATACAGACTCTCATACAGGCTGAAACATTAATCATAAATGTTTTAAAGTTTGGACGTTCTAGAGAGAAGGGACTTCAGAACGCATTTGGTTGGACCAGATCAATTGTTCCCCTCCCATAGAAATTCTTATCCTACAAAAGTCTTAAAACAAGTGTATGTGTATGAAGTTAACGTTGCAATGATGTTTGCAAGAGACTTTTTTCCATCAGTAGGGGAATAGTTGGTAATTGTGGTATGTCAACACACTGGTGCAGTTAAAAAGAATCAAGTGATTTTATCACTGAGCTGTTTTGCTAATTCAACAGATAGTCATTAAGTGCTTACTGTGTGCTGGGTACTGTGTTGCTGAGATCACAGAGACCAAATAGACACATCTCTGACCCCACAGAACTTCTAATTGATCTACAGGTAGAAGGATTCATTCCCTCTTTTCATTCAGTGAAGATTTATTGGCACCTACATGTCAGGCACTGTTCTAGTCCCTAGCAATATAGCAGGAAAGAAGCAGACAAAACCCCTACTTTCACACAGCTTAAGGTACTTATCAAAGGAAAATGCTAAGTCAAAAAAAAAACTAGAATACTGTATGTGGTACTTGCAATTTGTTTTCTTTTGCCTTAAAAATAATCTGGAAGAAGATACCCAAATTAATATGATTACCCCACAGAGGCAAATGGTCAAGAGACAGACTTCCACTTTTTCCTCTTACATATTTCTGTAATTGTTTGATGATATCCACTTTCTTTTGTAATAAAAAGATTAAATTTAAGCGTCATAGTAATGTTTTCCTTTCTACCCTCCTCATCATAGAAAGAAATGAACACTGGACAGGTTAAGTTCACGTTGAAGTTCAAGGCTGGCATGGCAGCAAGCCAAGACAAACCCAGGTTTTCAGAGTAGGATCCACTGTACATCAATTATTTGGAATGGGGAAGATGGCAGAAATGTGAACAAAAAGCTACTACAAATGCCTGGAGGTGACACCTGATAATTAAAGAGAGTGTAATACATTGAATATGTGGTTTGTTCATAGAAATGTCTTAGGATATTTTCCCCCCAAAGGTTTGCCTGTGAGACCCACAGTCTGTGAAAAGAGGCATCCACTTGACTTTTTAGACTGAAAAAGTAAGATCTACCTATGTTTTATCTGTCTATTACTTCTAGGTTTGGAATCCCAGAAGCAGAAATTCCAAGCAGTTCCTCATTTTATTGCACTTTGCTTTATTGTGCCTCACAGGTGTTAAGTTTTATTTGTTTGTTTGTTTGTTTTTTACAAATTGAAGGCTAGGCCCTCCACCAGCAAAAACACTCCAACTTGCTGTGTTTGGTGGTCTGGAACTGAATCTCCAAGGTATGCCTATAATTGATTTGGGGACATCCCCTTGTGCCTACTCCCATTTAAATTTTAATTTTATTCTCATTTAAATTTAAGTTCAAAAAATTAGAGTAAGCCAGATTGATTTGTCTCCAGATTTCTATTGAGAAAGTCTAGATCCTTCTGGAGATAAGTAGAGATGCGCTAGAGCTGTAATTTTTAAGATTTTCCATCAGCTCTTTCTGGGATGCAGTTGGTAAGTGGGGAAAAGGAGAGGGACAGGTGGACCATTTGGTTGAACATTTCTCAGTCTTAAGGAGGGTCAGATTTTGGCTGATTTTCCCTGGAATCCTGTGCAAAGGAAAAGTAGGAGTCAGAAATGGTAGTTTCAGGCTTCTAGAACCTTTGTATGTTTTTCTCAGTCATGTTGACTGCAGTTGTGAAGGTCATTCCAAATGACTCATTTACTCATAACAGTGAGTTTCTTTTCTGAATTCTTGTTCAAATGCCTTTTGCTTGTAGTGTGATCCTCTTCCCAGCAAAAGCAGTGACTTCTTTTTTTTTTTAAGATTTTATTGGGGAACTGGGGGAGGGGAACAGATAAGTTGCTGTCCTTTTGCTCTTCAGTCTAGCTGTGGAGGCTGTCGCTTCACTGGCCCTTGTTGGTATTATGATTGCGTTCTTCCCAGGAGAGGCAGTCGCTCACTGGCGATTGGACGGCTGCTCACGGCGGCTCACGGCAGCTCAGGAAGGCTCACGCCCGCTGCTGGCCAGCCCCACTGCAGCCTACAGGTGACTCGCAGCAGCCCAGCTCTAGGTCAAGCTGTTGTTCAGCATCTTAGCTGTAGAGGGCAGTGTCACTGGCCCTCATGTGGGATCCGAACCGGGGCCCTTTTGCTCAGAACTGGCGTTCAAGCCAACTCCTAACCAACGCGCCACTCGGCAGGCCCCCACATTTTTTGTTTTTTTTGTTTTTTTTTTAGCTGAGCAATCCTGCCACCTGTTGGCAGCTCACCAGCTGCTCAGCTCGGGCCAGGACTTGAACCGCTGTTGCTCAGAGCTCAAACTCTTGAGCTAGCTCTTAACCAACTGAGCCACTCAGCCGGACCCCACATTTTTAAAAATCATTATTTAAGCTATTCATGTGAGGCGGTGGTGGTGGATATTTGTTTACATATGCACATTATTTTAGTATAGTTGTTTTGCAGGTGTGTCTCCTTTGGAAAATATTACAGCTTTATAGTCTATGCTTGCTTCATGCTTTGTGATAAGTTGATATGCTGGCTTTTGTAATTTCTACATTTTTTTTATTTCTACTTTTCCATTCATTTTAAACCTAGTTCATGTCAAATAGACATATTTTACACTCCAATGCGATGTTTATTTTCTTTTGGTCAGCTCTGAAACATCCATATATCGATATATCTATATCTTGTTTGTTTTTAGTTTTATTATCCATAGTGTTACTTGCCATTACTGCTCGATTTTGTGCTAAATTTAGTTCTTGTTCCAAAAACACTTTAGTAAAAAGTAACCAGTGTATAAATGTAGGTGAAGGTTGCTTCCCACAGCTTTGTTATACTCATCTTATAGA